AACGAAGTTATGAAAGAAATTCTACATGAATGGTTCTTGTTCTTAGATCATCCAGAATCGGGCACAGAATTATTTGGTAAAGAAGGTGAGCAATGGTTGTCAGATAAAGCTAAAGCACAGTATCAATTTGATGATTGGGCGAAAGATTCAGAAACATTGCCATACTGGAAATCTTGGAACTCATTCTTTACTCGACAATTCAAAGATAGAGCAACGCAAAGACCAATTGCTGGCCCAGAATCAAACCAAACTGTTATTTCTCCGAACGATGGCTCAGTTTTCAGATGGCAAGATAATGTATTAGAAACTGATGTATTTTGGTTTAAAGATATGCGTTATTCGATCTCAGATATTTTGAGCTCTTCATATAAAGAGCAGCAAGCCTTGATTGATCAATATGATCTTGTGAATATGTTTAAAGGCGGAACGGTATTCCAAACTTACTTGAACCCTTATAACTTCCACAGATGGTGGGTGCCTGTTAATGGTGAAGTATTATTCGACCCAATTGTGATTCCTGGTGATTATTTTAACAAAGTGGTTATTCCTGATTTTGCAGGTGCAACAACAGCATCATTACCATATTCCATCCAAGTTAATGCTCGAGGCTTAATTGTATTCAAAACGGAAGATTATGGTTATGTTTGTTGCTTGCCATTAGGAATGGGTGAAGTTTCCACTATTTCATTTGATGAAGCGATGAAGCAAGGCGCATCTGTTCAGAAAGGCGAAGAGATGGGTGCATTTAATTACGGCGGATCTTCTTTTGTGATGATTTACCAAAAAATGCCAAACAAAAAGCTCGTGTTCATCGATGCAGAGGGTAACTTGATTCCTAAAGAACCAATTTTACCTGAAGGTAGTGCAAGTGTCGGTGGTATTACAATCAATATTGGTGCGCAAATTGGTAAGTGGATTGATGTTATTTAATATATTAAATTATATGTTAAAAACCTGTCTAAATACGATTAGGTAATTCAATAATATTAATCGCTGTTTCTTTCTGGAAATAGCGATTATAAAAGCATGATGAATGTGGTTGATATCTATCTGTTAATTATAATTTCAAAGAAAGGTCAATTATATGAGCACTCAAAATCAAACTAGTAGTGGCCAAGCATCTGCAGATAGTGGTGGAGCTAAGCTTGGTCTTCTCGCCTTAATAGCGATTGTTGTCGGCTCAATGCTAGGTGGTGGTGTTTTTAGTTTGCCACAAAATACTGCTGCAAGTTCTGCTGTGGGTCCTGTTCTTATTGCATGGGTGATTGCAGGAATAGGGATTTATTTTATTGCTAACTCGTTTCGTATTCTTTCTGATATACGACCAGATTTACAAGCTGGTGTTTACATGTATGCACAAGAAGGCTTTGGCTCTTTCATAGGCTTTAATGTTGCATGGGGTTACTGGTTAATGACAGCATTCGGGAATGTTGCATTTGCTGTTATTTTAATGGATGCATTCGATGAGTTTTTCCCTGGCGTATTTACTAATGGTAACAATTTAAATTCAATCATTTGTGGTTCTATTTTAATCTGGGGTTACAATTTCCTCGTTCTATCAGGAACAAAAGTTGCAGGATTCATTAATACATTAGGCACGATTGCTAAATTGGTTCCTCTTGTATTATTTGTACTAATTTTGGGTGTGCTGATTGATTATTCACAGTTATTTAGTAACTTTTGGGGTATGGATCCACAGATCGTGACAGAAGTAGGTAAGAAGTCAGAACCAGTGTCTTTATTGTCACAAATTTTATCACCTATGACTGTAACACTTTGGGCATTCATTGGTGTTGAAGGTGCTGTTGTACTTTCGGGCCGTGCTAAGAATAAAAAAGATGTTGGTAAAGCAACATTGCTAGGATTCATTGTTGCATTAGTGATCTATATTTTGCTTTCGGTTTTACCTTTTGGTGCAATGACTCAAACTGAGCTAGCAGCAGTTGCAAACCCTTCAACAGCAGGTGTTTTACAAAAAGTTGTGGGTGAATGGGGTAATTGGTTAATGAGCGTTGGTTTGATCATCTCTGTTCTTGCTGGGTGGTTAGCTTGGACGATGGTGTGTGCTGAAATTCCAATGGTTGCAGGGGAAAAAGGTGCATTTCCAAAAGCATTTGCTAAAACTAATAAAAATCAATCAGCGAGCGTTTCGCTTTGGATTAGTAGTGCTGTAATGCAAGCGGCAATGTTGTTGGTATATTTCTCTAATAATGCATGGAACACAATGTACAACATTAGTGCATTGATGGTAGTGCCTGCATATATTACGACTACGCTCTATATTTCTAAGTTATGTTTGACAAATCAATACAGTAAATATGCTAAAACTGGTAAAACATTGGCTGTTATTGGTGGGATTCTTGGTGCATTATTCTGTTTATTTATCTTATATGCAAGTGAAATACAATATGTGATGTTAATCCCATTGCTTTTAACTATTGGTCTGCCAGTATTCATTTGGGCACAAAAAGAAAAAAAAGATAATGCTCCTATCTTTGAAAAATTTGAATATATTTACTTAGGTATTTTAATTGCGGTAGATATTTTAATTATCATACTTTTTATGAATGGAGTTGTAACACTATAGTGTATACATCATACATGATAATGGTCACTCTATTTTCTCTATATAGAATAGGGTGACTTGATAATAAGGAATAAGTCTTTTATGGGTAGCAATAAAGATAATACTCAAAAACTAGGATTGATTGCATTAATTGCTATTGTTGTTAGTTCTATGATTGGTGGCGGAATAGATAGCTTACCTAAAAGTATGGCACTTCAATCAGCATTAGGTCCTATAGTTTTGGCATGGGTTATAGGAGGTTTTGGAATCTTCTTTATCGCTAGTACTTTTAGAATTCTATCTGATATTAGACCTGATTTGCAATCAGGCGTTTATATGTATTCACGTGAAGGATTTGGTGCATTTATAGGGTTCATTGTTGCTTGGGGCTACTGGCTAATGACTATATTTGGCAATGTTGCTTTTGCTGTTATGGTTATGGACTCTTTAAATTATTTTTTTCCTGGAAATTTTACAGGTGGAAATAATATCACTTCAATCATTTGTGCTTCTATTTTAATCTGGGGATTTAATTTTCTTGTGTTATCAGGCACTAAAAATGCCAGCCTTTTAAATACAGTGGGAACTATTGGTAAATTAATCCCTCTTATTATTTTTGTTGTATGTGTTGGTTACTTTATAACTAAACAACAATTATTTAGTAATTTTTGGGGGATTGAAAAATTTGATAATATCAAACCATTGGGATCAATAGTAGAACAAACTGTCGCTCCTATGAGTGTCGTATTGTGGAGTTTTATTGGTATAGAAG